TGAGATGAGAGCTAGATTAAAGCTACCCTGGCAATCCTATAGCACAGGACAGATATGGTAACAATATCATCTGCCCAGAGAAGTTTAAATATGGCGGTCTTGCTAATGGAAAGTGGAAAGGAGGCTATCTTTAGCATAATAGCCTTTATCTCTACCAAGAGACCGTTACTTGCTACCCAGCAGCTCTCTGAAGAAAGGTGTTAAGCAATTTGCAGAGGCGTTATTTTAGCGCGCCTTCCTTAAAACTGTCGTGGTATAACTTGGCCTACGAGAACCTGTAAATCAGTTTAGTAATAATTATAACAATAAGTTACAGTGAATTTTGAAGACATGTGTTACGAAGTTTACCAAAGTCGTTTTTTTATTTAGAATTAAAAAAAAAAAATTTTAAATAACGTGTGGGTTCTCTCTAGATTCGTTTTATATAGATTCTTATTATACGAACCGTTACACTTGTGCGGCACTAAATGCGTGTGGCAGCCGATGCGATAATTCAAGACCAGAGAACTTAAATAGAATCTCGTGTGGGAAATTTTTGTTGATCATATACCACTGGTATCCGCGAGCTAAAAAAACTAAAACAAATGAAAACCTCAGGAAAGTTAAACATAATGCAGACAACTAGTGTAAAATAAATATGACCAATGTGTCCTTAAGCTTATAGAGTCTAACTTATTTTATTAGAAACTTAATAACCCTAAAAATTTGCATTGATATGATTTAGTAGTGCTATTGATGGTTTTTCAGAACTTACGTAATTTTCAGTCCGCTAAAATAGTCATCGTGCGATTGATCTAAATCAGTTCAAAGGGCCCTTGCTTTCTTTTCTTACCGTTTCTTCCAAGCCTGGCCACATTCGCTGTTATCCATTGTTTGCTCATTATGCATCCAAATGTTATTATCTTCATTTTTTTTCTGTATTGTTTTACTTAAATCAACCGTCTTAGATACTAGAAGAACTTGCACTTAGCGATAAGAACTTTATGCAATTTGTCCGATCTGTTCGCACGTGTGAGATCACCCTTAAAGGGATACCTAGAATCGACTAACATAAAAGGTAGTGCGAACCTAAAATTTTTATTCATTGGACTGATCTATTGCGGAGGAATGATGCTGTTATGAACTTGTCTTTAACAAAGACGCCCAACCGTTGACTACATGATTACTGGACACTGCGGTTCACAATGCGGCTGAAGTTGCTTCTGATATTGATTACGGATACACCTCCGTCGTCCAGAAATGTCATGACTGTGAGATAGAGTAACTTATAATAAGTAATAGTACGACGTCAGATGACGTCGTCTGTTACGTTGTTCGCGAACGATTCGTCTGTCAAACACGGACGCACTCATGGATAAGATCATACATACAGACGTAACAAATTGAAACGGCACTAGTGAAGGCAACGAAAAGGCGATTATTGTGGCGAAGGAGCAAGTCAAACATATCAGCGGTTAGATTGATGTAGGGGGATTCGTGGGGGGTTGGAATAGGCGCAGCTGGGATAACGAACAAAGACAAGTGGAATAATCTTGTTGCTGGCCTTGCTGCAGCTACTCATCCCAGTGCATATTATTGGCTACTTTGGTCAAAGTGGTTATGACTCTGACCAAAGGAACTTTGTGTCGAATAAAATTATTGACTTGAGTACTCGTCGCAACTGGGTAGTATTTTACAGAAGCATTAACAGTGTGGTGCAAATAGCGTCAGCTCCTCCGGGAACTGCGACAATAGCTGATAAGATACCTAGTGAGGTTTCCGCGATAGCTTAGTGAGCAACGTATTTGCCTGCCAATTTGTCGTCTAGATTCAAATTCGGGCACAGACATACTTTGTTTCGTGCTGGGAGCTAGCTGTACGACGAAATGTCTAACGGCGATGCCGGACGTTAAAAACTCGTAAAGACGTAGAAGATAGAAGAGGAAAATAAGAGTGAAGAGGAGACAGTAAACAGAACTGGCATTCTAAAATTTTACCACCGATGGAGCACACATCAACGTAAGTTTCTCGATCCGACGACCTTTACCGATCTATTATTACTGCGAGTTCGGGATAGCCATTTAGAGCACACAACCTAAATTGTATTGGGAAAAGTTAATAAATTGAAGAAAGTTTTGGGCGGTTATTTTATTGTGCCAGTGTATCAAAGATAAATCGTTACAAAGAATATTCTCCATAAAAATGTATAGTCCAAAATAAACTAATATGTTAGCTAAAGAGTTACTACTGATATATTAGAGAATGCTAGATACCAAATATAGATGCCAGTTACACCTGTATTAAAGTTTAGTTACATCTAGGCTAATTGTAGACCATCGTACATCGCAAAGCCACATGATTCGCGTGGCGCAAGAGAAATAGTTATTTGTGTAGAACTTATTTCAATGATAGTTATTTTTGCTTACGATGGGATCAACGCAATCTTTTTGTTACCTTGTGACAAATTGCGCTGCGTTTATCTGCAATTATGATAACGATAATAATAGGTAAGTGTATTTTACAGATCAGTACGAAAATCTATTACAGATCAACATAAAAACCTGTTTGAATAGTTGTAGTGTGATATTGGTCCCTTTTTAGGACAAATTCCTAAAATGGGTAACGTTTCTTCGTTATGACCGTGAGGCGACTTTAACAAGCCTGTCAGTCGTGTGACATTTGACAACATCTGTACATTGGCCGTCAAAGCTTCGTTTAGATTTTCCGAGTATTATTCTACACTACCAAAGCTCAAAAGGTATGTTAAGACTCTCATGTAGGTAACCATTTGCTTGCACCTTGCAATCGTATGGTTGTCAGAGCTTCGCTTTTTGTATGGCAACGGAAATACTTAGGGCGTATGTGCCCGAATCTACGGTCGAATGTAGAATGGGGCCTCAGCTAGTTCTTTCAAAGTGGCAAACATCCAGGTCTGTGATGAGACCCACTTATAAGCCAGCCACCTTACAGTAGCGAGGTTGTTTGAGCATTTTAGTGTCATCTTTAGAACATAGAGGCGCCTGTTTTGTTCGCTGAGACCGAACCTCCTAGCCCTGCTGCCTCTCAAACCGCTGGTTCCCTTGAATGGAGTCAGACGTTTGGGTATGCGTGCTTGGCCCTCCTAGACTTGAGCAACACAACGAGCTACTACTTTCCTGACCTAAGACTACACGCCGAAGCTAATGTGGAAGCGCTCTAATATCTGTTGTACAGTTTGCCCACCGGTCTTTCCGGAGAGGCAGAGCATATATGCGGCCTCAACTTGGACTCGCAAAGGCCGCAACAATGCTATATTCCTTTTAATCCTACAGAAGAGCCCGTCGACGAATACGTACTTAGAAACTTTTTTCTTGCTTCGAACATAAGGATAATGTCGCTCAGACAAAGGTCTGCCCCTTATATTCTTCCGAAGTCAACCATTACTTAACTTCATAGTGGACACAACCAGGAGCTTCGCATCCGACATAAATTCCTTGTTTCGGCCCACACAAATGCATTACATTCTGCTGCTGTTAGCTTAGACCCTTAATTTAGATTTCATTTTGTATAGGACAGCATATACAAATATCTGATCTACTACACAGACTGAGGACATTTGGGCCTCTGATATATTTCAGTGCGTTCAATCGTAGCATGCAAGCCTTACAAGTCGACAAAGTCACTATGAAGATACGACAACTTTATGTTCTCCAGGAGCGTCTTAAACTCGAATAGTATTCTTACATGCTTCAGCAAAGATCGTTTTTCGCGAACAAACGCGTACAGGTTTTCATCGCCCCCTTAAACCTGCGCATAATTTTCTCTTGCGTAAGATCGCGCCTTCTATGGAAACCGGTCGGACAGATGAGCCCTAAGCTTACCCACGCCGCTTCGCTCATACGGGATTCGAGGCAGTACTGAGCTGGATCTGCCACCAGCAATAAGGCCATAGACACCTATTGCTGACATCATAGATTGATCCACTTCTCGGAATTCAAATACTGAAAGTACAAGAAGTAATAGTTTGGCCGGTAACGTTATTTTTGCACACTTTATGTCAAACGACCATAAACCGTCGTCTTGCAGCTTAGCAGACTATTTCATCTACTCTCTATTTGACTACCTTCTTGGAGAGTTTGCTTTGCTTATCCGTCGCTGCCATAATTTGTAGTGACAACGCATAGATAACGGCATAGATTTATTCACTCTAAACCTCGTTCATCATATAACAATAGCGATGGAAGTACCTAAAACTTAATGTACGTATATGTATATATATATATATATCACAGAGGTAAAATAAAGACCCTCATACCCTCAAGAAACTTTTTACTTAGTCTGTGTAGTAATATTAGAACAATAGTAATAAATCAGTCCACTACGAGAGCTCTATATTGCGTACGCTTTCTACCATAGTTTTTACGCTTGTCATAAAAGAAACGGGGTAGCACGAATAATGGCCTGCCTTTAGTCCACACTCTGTGCACCCATAATTTGTTCCTCTTGTTGAGCGTCGAAGCCCTTTGACACTCAGGTTCTTGTTTCCCGATCTAATCCACACGAACTGCCTGTTTTGCCCCTATATGCCCACAGTACCATCGCCCCTTTCGCCATGGCACTATCTAGTGGACATTTTCAGCTCCACGCTAATATATTCATATGCCAGAACAACAAATGACACGCAGGGGAGACAGACACACGAGTGGAATCGTAAGCAATTTAATCATTGTCACTTAAAAAATTACCACATTAATTATGGCAAAACGCATCGCTTCCAGAGATTATTACTACTCTTGATTCTACTATTTCCTCTGCATTTTGCTAGCATTATCGTATTTTTCCGGTGTGAAGATGCGAAGCCCAAATCCAGTCTCCGAATCTGTTGCTCCGTTTTTTTGTCACCACTCATCCATATGTAAAAAAAACTTCAGCTCTATGAATTGCTACTTCTTTATCGTCACTACGGTATTGACAACACTATCGAAGACGGCTATTAGCCTCACGGAGCACTGACACACCAAAAGGAATACCATGACACCCACCTGTTCCAATAGCTTACCCAGTTCCGACCCTTTATCGAGGCCACATTCTGGACCGATGGCCACTTCCAATGAGAGTCGACGGTTCGGTCGACGTCATAAAATCCGAAACCAATATTCACGTATAATCACCTGCTAACGCAGATTGCTCTATACCTGCATTGCAGTACCTACTATTGCAGTACCTGTCCACTCCTATGTATTAGCACGCACACAGTGGCTATCACCGACTTCTTGTTTCGCACTGCTTAACCCGGCTACAAGCACGGCGCGGCCTCGTACAAATGCACACTGTACAGCACAACACTTACTAGATTTTACCACTCCATGACATAAACTCCAGTGGACTGGTATCCCTTACTTCGGTTTCTGGGTCCCCGGGCTTACAACCATGCAACTGCCCAAATACGGTTTATTGATGCACATCATACAGCGCATACATGCAGAATGTCGCTGTACGCAGCTAACGTTTCTGTCTACTCCCCTTGGGGAGGCTTCTAGTTGAGGCCACTTGTTCTGACCTGCCGCTCATTAGCAGTGTCAGCGGCAGCAGACCGCTGCGCTCAGAAGCGGCAGCATCACTACAACCTCAGTTTGCCGCTCTTTATCAAGCAGTCCTCGCTCTTTCGGAATTATATGTATAGCAAGCTATGACGACGACAACGGCGACACTGATGAAGTCCTGTGGCCTGGCGCCGTTTGCTGCGGCGGCGACATATGGCCGTATTCCCTTCGCCCTCTGTTTCGACGTCTTCCCCGCAAATCCTTCGGAGCTGCTTGAGCAGACGATCAGTGAAATGAAGAAGGGCCAAACCACGGAGAAGACTACATGTTTGTATCATAGATTTGCCGCTGTTCGGTGTTTGTGCCCGGCGTCGAGTGAATGGCGCATGCGCGTGTTCTCAGCGATCAGCTCAGCTCCCCGACACCCTTGCCAGCATGAGACCCCCCGGGTTTGTCTGCCTACTCTGAGTCGTAATGGCTCTCCCTTCTCATCCCCCTTGCGAGCCCGTGCTGTTCTATAGAGCCTGCCGAGATCAGAAGAGGGAAAACGGTAAAGACGGCCATTGAATTGTTGAACAGCGCAGCCATTGTTGAATACCCCCTTTCTTCTCTAATATCCTTATTGTGACGCAGGAGGAATGAAGAGGGCAGAAAGCAATGAAAGAAGCAATGGGGGTTTGGCGGAAAGACGAGGAAACCGTGTTTGCATCCTTTTCACGGCTTTTCATTTTGTCATATGCGCAATAACGATTAGGCCCCTAGTATTGCCTAACGTCAAGATTTAATCACTGCAAATGAGGAGAATGCCAAAATTGTTAAGTGGACAGATGGAAAGGAGAGAGGCCTTTCATTATGTTTTTTTATAATTTAGCGGCACCCGACGCTGTAGAAAGACGTTATGGGCTTCCAGTGGCTCTTCATTACTGGGCTTTTATAACCGTGTACGTTGCTTAGTGGAGAGCTGGAGCCAGCAGATGAAAACGTTTTTCGAAGGAACTTCATGAAAAATGACAGGTCACTACGAGTGGTGGTGAATTCAACGTGCTGAACGAATAGAGGATAACAAGGAATTTATGTAAAAGGATAGTCAGTCTTCTTAATGCTGTATGGGTTTGTTTCTGTGTGATGGACGGTTTTAACTATCAAAAATAACTTCCTTAAGAAGTATATGGTAGATAGGGCCGAATGGAGCATTATAAACCAGAATTGACTAGACAGTATTGTTAAAAACGACAGACTCCACGCGGCAAAGTAAACAGGTATATTGATCAAAGATTCTTTCATTTTCTAATCTATGTAGGCTCAGTACTTATTTTCAACATCAGTTAACGGCATCGGGCCAAACGAGGTTATATGGGCCAAGTCCCATGTAACTTCGTTTTCCTTTCAACTTAAGCTAATTTATATACGGCGGTTGTTTACAAATGTATAAAGAAAGCGAACCTCTATGAAAACTATTATTATATGGTTACTTAATATAGAATAGTGTAACTTCGTGGAAGTTAAATATACCGTGCCGCTGAAGAAGTTATTTTCATATTGTAACCTAACTCCAGTGAATATACATAAAAATAATATTAGAAACGATCACTATGCATGTGACATTTAGCCAATTTTTTCACACTGTTATTTGAATTAAGTTTAATTGGTTTTTGGGATAGTTATTTTAATGTCCAATTTCATAACTTGATTTCGCTCGTAAATTACTAAATCGTGGTTATAATAGCTGACATGATATAGAATGAGTCGGTTCTCTGCACCAAAATCTCTGCCAGTCGGGCTTAGTGAGTTTGCCTTGGAGGAAAGCTACTTAGAAACGCTGGATGTTGATAGCATCTTTTCTTATCAGTCTCAATCGCTGCTCTTAGATTTAAATACTATTATAAATTATATTATAATTGTTTAAGTGAAATTTAAAAGCAGAACAAAACATGGTCTAAATGTAACGTCCTAACCCAAAATCTAAATTGAGCGATTGCTGCACTAGCCATGTTGGGTTGGGTACGTCAGGCCATCGGAGATTAAGCGACGTCCAGTTCGGTAAATAATTGGAAGAAGGCATACTATAAATACTATTCGTCAACGAATCTAAGCCAACAATAGTGGTCTGCTTTTATAGGGTAAAAGCCTAGAAAATAACGCACTTTTCTTGAGTCAAATAATTGTCATTTATTAATTTCTTCATATATACTTATATATGTATTTGGTAATATTCAGGCCTCCTACGGTCTACCACTTGCTCACAGTTTTAATGCGGCTATGTAATGTAATTAATAAAAAAAATTATCTAGACGTTTTTTGAAGTAAAAATATTAACACTGATTTCCAGTTATTTTGTATACTATATCTTACCATGGTTGGACACACCGTTTATCTAAAGGTAAGTTTTTATAAGTTGCCCTAATTAATTGTATTCTTGTTATTATTACTGTTTCATTTGAGATAAACTTAGACGCTCACATTGTTGAAAGCCGTGGCAGATCCTTGATCAAGAGTCAGAGAGCTTAATTCTGTGACTAATGTCCGATCTCTACTATTTGTCAAACGTGAAACCCTTTACTCAGCCATTCTCAACGAAAACCTTTTTCAGTTTGGTACACGCCATGATAGCCGTATTATATTCTGCCCAATATCGAATAATTTCACTGAAAGCCACCTCAAGTTTGAACCGAAAAGAGTAGTCAACCTCTTTCTCCCATTAGGACAGATTAAGTACCCCTCTCAAAAAATAAAAATAGGGCAATTAAAAGCATTTTTTTTTTCACTTATACCAGTTCCTGATAAGGTTACTATTTGATGTACAGCGTGCACCCAAGAATGGCGGGGCCTGTTATCTAATATCGTCCGCGTTTCTCGTATAAATAACATAAAAAGCGCAACATTAACAATAGTAAGAACAAAATCAACAACATCGATTAACGGCATCAACAACCCTAGAAATGATACCAATATAGGATAATGACAATAGGTGTAAAAAGGAATACGGAAAAGCCCTATTAAGTAATCATTGAATAACCCTGTCATAATGATGAACATAAGTTTTAGGGTGGCACCTGCCAATATGTGGGGGGGGGGAGGGGGCAAATCCAATTAAATAGTACTGTACGCCTCTTCTGTGATATTATTGATTGTCCAAGTCCTCTACAATAAGATAAATTCAGATTCAAACTTCTTTTTAACCTGATGTACCTTGATATACCTTTCCTTAAAACCCTAATCTGTAAAATTCTTTAAAACGGGTTGTTTCGCTGCTTCTATTAAATATTATTGTGGTTTTCGATTCGTGGTTTGTACATGAATTTGATACTGTTTCTTGTGTAAAAAACGTTTTAGAAAAAATATCGCCTTCGGAACTTCATTTCATACTAGGCCTAGGTACACTTCGTTTTGAGTTGTCTCATCGACATGCATAATTGGACCTAGTTTGCTTTCTGAAGCGTTACCTCAACATTATTTATAATTTACACAGTTTACATTACGAGGGCGCGCTTTGCCATCGTTAAGGAAAGATCAACTGTGTCGTTCCTTAAGGGTGGCGACGCTCGCTGATGATGCTATGAGGGTGGGAACGAATAAAGTCGATTTAAAATCCTTCGCAGCCTATGATGCAGCTGTGATACTAACGTGTTAAGCATCATCGGCAATAAGTCTAAGAACGTAATCGAGTATGTCATACTGCGAATTAAAAGCCCTACGACTTGATATCCCTTCGGGAATTATCGCCTTCCGCGTCTCACTCACGTGGGCGACGGGTTCTACTAGTGAGTTTCCATTATCAGTTGAACGCCGAACGCGGCTTAATCGGTGAGACCAGACCATTTTCGCAAGTCGATCTTCATCAAGGAAACCGTCAACTTTAGTTAAGGCGCCTTGTGGTACCTGAGGAAGGCCAGGAACAGGACCGGATGCTTCTCTTATCTTTGCAGAAGCGTAAGAGATGTTGAAACCGCCGAAGTGAGGTACACCGGGTTTGAAGCTTCCTTGAAATGGTAAAGGGTCTTTACGAAGGAACGGAAGAGGTCCCATTTGGCCTGGTCGCGGTGTAGTGGGGTCCGGAAGACCACGCGGTGGCAACGTCACAGGGCGAAACCCTGACTCCATGCGGATTGAGTGCACCCGTGGGCGGTGAACCAACTTTCGGGGAAAGACTGTTCGATCCCGATCCACAATGAGATCTGTGACGTTATCTAATGGCAGCACCCGCTGGCTATGAAAATTCACATGTGGTAAGGCCTTGTCGGCTAATTTTCTCATATGGCTTGTTCGTGACGAATGCTTCTTGTGGGAAGGTTGATGCAAGTCCTGTGGAAAGGGCACACGAATTTCGCTACGCTGCGAGGCTGCCGCCCCCTGCTGAACGAGGTCAGCACAGTTGTCCACCACGTGTATCTTCCAGCCTAAGTGACGGTGAGTGTAGCACTGAAAAATTATAAGGCCAATTGTGAACGAACAAATTACCGCGGCAATTTTCTTAATTTAATTTTTATTTTTATTCTTACTATGAGGCTTACGCCTTCCGCAGAGCTTTTCGTGGTAGTACTTTGTGTGAGGTATCATTAAATACATTATTTAATGCATGAATAACCACACGATAGCATCATAGTTCGGGCGTCATCATCTCCGCTCCCTGATTTATTGATATCGCTTGTGAAGCTATGAAACGAAGAAGCGGTTGTAATAGTATCAATTCTGATAATTCCCCGCAGCTACTGATGTTCATAGCGGCTATCTACTTTGGTCACGTTCTTATTCAACAGGAAAGCAAATTTTACAAATCTATTACTCCGAGAAGTATCAGTATTTTGTGCGTGCAACAAATAGTACCTGGTAATAGACGAGATCTGGTGTGAATTGGTCAGGCGTCCATTGAAGATACGCGGGTCGGCCTTCCTGGCATTTGATCTCAAGGTTAGTGGCGAAATCTTCAAAGGTTGCGAAGTCGTCAGGCAGCTCCGTTCGTTTAAAGGGGTATTCGTAATTGCAAAGTCGACCCTCTGTGGTAGGGGATACAAATTTGACAGATTAGTCATAAGTGGCAGAAGGCTTCTTTCACTAGGAAAGAGGCTGGTGCCAGATTTAAGGTTATAGTGTGTAAAATAGAATAAAATATGATCCTCAATATAGAATCAATATACTTTTTTTGCAACTGGAAATAAATTTAATAACACTTCATGAGGATTGGCAACGATATACGTTACTTAGATAATACCGACTTAACAATGGACGTGCCTAGATGAAGTAAGAAATAAGCTTCAAGGTCGTACATGCCCTACCGTAAAAAAATGTACGGAATAATGTACGTACTAGCCGTTGGAGTGGCGCGTCCACTCCGGTCGAAGGATACTCCAGCAAACACTTTTTCTGTCTGAAATACGCAATAAATGGGATGAATTTTTCTTACGTATACATGTATATTGGGTTTTCGGACAATAAAATTTGCAAAGTGGGGACGAAAACATATAGACAACAATAAATACTATAAATGCACGCAGCACATATTCATTTGTCGAATAGAAGGGCAATTAAATCGATGTGGTCAATGCACACGCTCACCCTACGCTCTGCTTGGGATTTGTGCTCATAGCCGCCGGTAGGATCGGAAGTTATATAAAAAGGATGGTTCTTTGACGTATGTGTTTTATTATTTCCACCTTCAATGACGAATGTGTAGGTGACGCCACGTTGTACATATAGCTCGGGTATCATGAGACCATTAATATACCACGCGATGCCCCAGCCAACATGCCCTGTAATCGCTTGGTAACCCTTTTTACCGCCAGCCGGACCGATCTGGGCGTAGAACTTATTATCGGCAGGACACGCCACTGGGGGAATAACCCAGGCATGCTGACGAGCAGTTGCCTGGCTAATTGCTGCGCGTAAGAGGAAAAAGAAGCGCAAAAAAATAATTTTAAATGACAGCAAATGCGGTACATCCAATTAAAAAGTTAAATAGTAGTAAATTTAACTTTTAAGGAACAACATCCGCACTCAGCATGTGTTTTAATATTATATAAAATACCTCGCATAAATCTGGTGAACATTAATATAGTTTCAACAAAAAAATATATATATAAATCTGTTTGTTGTTGTTAAATACATGTTGGTTTACTTGTGTATGTGTAATCTCATAGTTGTCAAATTATTGGTAACTCTGTTAGAATACTGCAAAAACATCTTTCAGTACAACCTATCTTGCGTGGTCATTGAAACTGAAGATTAGAGCGTGTAGAAACTAACGTTGTTGAGCGACTAGTCGGGGCTGGTCGTTTAGGGTCGAGATATCATCAGGTTTAGGACAGTTCCATTGTGGAGCTCGCGCGAAATCGATAAAGAGGTCACCCTTGGTTCTTAGTTTATGGTACGACACCTCACCCTTGCCGTTAATAGGACCAAGAGCCCAAACAATGGCCTGAGGGCCATCAGAGTAGACATGCTGGTCGTACTTTTCATCTACTGTGAACACCAAAGATGTAAAAACGACCTTCGCGTTAACAATGTAAGGACACTCCTCAATTGCATTTATGTTTTTTATGCAAGCCAAACTGTGGCACTTACCCTAACAGTTCTGCTTAAGTTATCGAGTGAAAATATTCTTTTATCACTTATATCAATATTAAAAACAGGAGGGCCGTGAAGATCTAACCATATTATGCGACGTTCGTCTACTTAAGATAAATTTCGCATGTTAAGTTAAGGAACTCCGTTCCGTATCGTTGCATAACCCACAAGTCGTTATTCTGAGTTGCTAGTTAAGTCCAGTTAAGGGTTAAGCTTCGGGTAGGTATACTTACAAGCGACCTGTGGTCGTTTATACGTGATCATATGGTAACCGTTGACAAAGGCCGTGTTTAGGACCGTCACACTATCACGTGCGCCTCGTTGCTTAATATCTGGACAGGCACCACGTTTGCCCACACACTGATGAAAAAGACAAAATTTCCTCAGATATATTAAAAACACAATTATAGAGCAATTTTTTTAATATGAATTATAGATCCGAAATGCATAATAGAAATAAGGATCGGACTACATACAGTATTTTCTCTACAAATAATGATGATGTACTTTACAACTTCACCTAAAGTGAATGAGGTATGTCCAATAAAGAAAATTTCCCTATTGTCTTAGCGTTTTGCTTTTATGTCCACGTGCATGGACTTGAATCGAGTTTAATATTACTAATATCAAAGAACTATTTACAAGCATAAATCAAATAACGTAGACGTACCTGTTCCTTCGATCCTAGGTAGTAATCTACGGCGTGTCCCCGTCCCTGGTGATCGATCCACGTCACAACAGCATCGGATCCGACCATCCTCGTTTTTGTGTCATCCATACTTAAGCCGAAAGCCATGTACTCACCCACATCTGAAATTGCCGAACACGAATGCGCACATGTGCACACATAGACTTAATGTACAAAACATCAGCCTTCTCTACTGGATTGTAGAAGTTCGTTAAGGGAAGTTGTGACCGACGAGCTACGCATGAGGTCAATTAGTACTAACTGCTTGTATATAGTACAAGCAAAGCCACTGAGGGGAATCTTCTTAATGTTGCTTAAGCTTTATATCATTAACCCTTGACATCTTTCCGGCATAAGAGTATCGCTAATAGCACAGCGTTAGGAAACAGCCAGGTAAAATCGCTTATTATTTCGAACATAAATTGTTTAATGATCTGATACTGACCAACACGTCCCACGAGCTGCATGATCACTTCGTCTCCATCCATAATCCATCGAAGCTCGAAACCCATGGGGTCGTGCAGGATTTCGCAATTGAGTTTGTTCTGCGAAGAGTCGCTGCTTTCGTCGACGACGGACTGCGGCTGCACCACTGTACTGCGTGCGGGTGACAGAGAAGCCACTCGATCCCCCAGTGCTGACTACAACAAGTGGACAGCATAGGCGGTGTGCGAAGACGGACACAGAATAGGACAGCGGACATTGGATGACCGAACACATTGACAAAGGTACATAGACAAAGCATATACATGGAATAAAGGGGTACAAATCAAAGATATGAAAACGAGGCCGGAGAAGAAGAACAGAGCAGAAAAGAAGATCACGAGGCGTCCATGGCTTATGTGAGGAGATGGTAACTAGGTAGGCAGCCCATGGGTGCTACCTAGTTACGAAAAAAGTACGAGTCGGCCATACAGCGGCAGATCAATAAACTGTAATACAATGCACAAGATGTGTGGAGGGTGTACTACGCAAATTGAAAAGGCTCGTGGAACTATTAGAAGTATATTCCAGTCTAATTAACAAGCGAAACTACATGTTATAAAGAAGTGACAACAATCTCAGGGTAGTTACGTGCAATGGGACTCACACATCGACCCATAATATGCCACCTGAGGATAGGGTTACGCGAAATTTATTTAATGATAAAACAGAAATTGTGCTTCGGTAAGTCATTGAGAGCAATGGATCCGCCACCACAAAAAAAGTGTTTTAGCACTACATAAAAGAGAGGGCGCGCATATCACATACAAACCGCCGATAGGTCTCTGCCGCATTAACTGTGGAAACTATTTCAGACTCGAGTACTATTCCACTACTGACGACTAGGTTCACAAATATAAAGAATACACTAACTATGATATATGTTAAAAGATGCGCAATGCAACTGATGGTGTAAAAATAAAACCTATTATTAGTTTTTTTTTTTTTGTTTCTTTTAAATATCTGATGCTATGATCATCTAGGATAATGATGATATTTTTATTTGTGAAATGTGAGTTTTACTAGGATCAGTGAGATACCCTAGGAGCCTCGGGTCACAATCATCTAATTCTTCGCATTAGCCTAATAATACCTGCAACTTTGCTTTAAGCAAATTTTCCGAAATTCATAAGATTTTTCTATAGTTGCTTTTTAGTCTTATAAGTGAGCCTGTGTTCAAGATTTACAGATTCATAGGATTAAAGGAAAATTCCTTGTTAGGAAATGGAAATTATATTCATAACTTTAATAGCTTAAACGCTCGTATTGTTTTTTTTTTTGATAATATATATATCTTACTAACTCGAGCAAGTCTAAGGTAATTTTTTATATACGACGTTCCCATTCAAACAAGTGGGAAAAAGTAATTTTAATTGAAAAAAATATTTCACGCGTATATCTAACTATTTAATGTACGTATAAATTTAAGGCCAAAAGTAAATACATTTTCGGTGGTAAAAAATTTAGAGAAAAAGCAAGGTAGGCGTTGAGTAGTCTATACGAACCTATTCGATTTAGGTAGAGAAATAAACCTTATTGATATAAGCAATGATCTTGTTCTTTAAAGATTAGAAACGCACCTCTATGTGAATCCCAAAAGCTCTTTGCGATGGAGGCACTTTGACGTTGTGGGGGATTTTAATTGATCCGAAATCCACGTCAGCCAATTCACAGTATATTCCAAAGCGATCAAAGTCGTATATCGTATAGCCATCAGGAAGGTTGATTACGACTGTCTTACCAGTATACCGAGGAAGAGGATCACGACTGCAACCAAAAACGAAAAGCCGCGTTAGTAGAGCATTGAGTAGGCCAAGGGAGCATCTCAAGGGAGTAGGAGTCCTCAACCATTAAGTACATTTGAAAGAAGTTCGGAGATTACTTTAAAGCACTCGTAAAACGTATAGTCGTAACCCGTCAAATATTCTGCGTAGAATTAGGCTCTATTGCACTGGGCAGAAGCCCATTAGTGAAATACCAAGATAACAACGAGTTACGGTACTGGCAACAAAACAAAAAACGCCCGCAGTGAAAAAAATTATCATGAAATATCTGAATATCTTGTCGGTCTTAACTGGAAAACGAAAGAAACGTACGTCTTGAATTTTTTTTTTTAATGCACAGGAAGTTTTTACGTAAACAAATAAACCAACGATTGCTTCTTGAGTGGCCGGGCGAGCTCGGACTTTTAAACGCTAGGTCCGTCAGTACATTGGTCTCACAATATCAATAAATTAAGTAGTTAAACTGATGAATTAGGACTCTACTTAATACTCTAGTTTTTTTTTCTTAAGTTCATTATACATGTAGTTCAGGACACGTGAATGAGCGTGCTTAAATCAACAAGCTATCATGCTAATGTTAACACACGAATTACAGTTGCATATACATTCCATTTTTACATACAGTTCCATATACATTCCACAATAACTCGCGAGGAAATACTACGTTATATATATATATATATATATATATATAGAAAAAATCGGAACACAAAGACAAAGCTCATTGCACTTGGCTCTTCCTTAACAGGTGACTTTTTACGCTGCACATTAAAGACGGTCGGAGAAAAAACAGCTGATTCGTTCTATACTGATGTTTGTGTTATTGTTATTTTTGGAATTTGGAATCATGTACTAAGCTGCTTGAACTAATATGAATTCAAGGCGAAACTGTATCGGTGTACGAAGTCGAAAATACTGGAAAAGATGTCTACTGGGTTATCCTCTAAGGTGTGACAAAACCGTAGATCGATATGGCAGCGCACGGAAAGCCATTCAGTACGGTTCGCGTGACGGCGCAATCTCAATGTGTTCGCGTAGTAAGCTCCGAAACAGTGGGGGTAATTCAGGTTTGAAGTCGCACATAACACACTTCATTTCATACTTGAAATGGCCATCCGTCTAAAGTAATACCTAGCGGAAATAACAGCACAATTCAGTTGGTGTACCCTGAAATATCTCACTGGCAAGTATATCGCACATCCTGCTCGTCCAAACAATAACATAATCGCCCTATAAAACAAGCAGTTGTCGCTTAACTTCGAATTTTATACCTGTTACGTCCCGCCACCTGACAAGGTCATACAGATACTAACAATTGATTGAATGATTCTCATCAAGTTGACAGGTTGGGTCTCTTAGAATTGACAAACACTTACCTAGCCCATTTTCAAATAAGTACCCGATGTATGTAGGTGCACATTGCAACATTCATTGTTGTGATATCAACTTTTCTGTTATCGTTCTCAATCATCGGTATTAGTAGCAAATCAACAACTATACTAGCAGCAAATGTATTGACGCAGGTACTTATCTATATCGATTTTTCGTCAGCAGGACGAACGAGCAAATAGGAAATAAGCATAGTACATGTTTATTGCCGGATTGTACTAGTTATCCAACACAGAGTATATAATACGCCGTGGTCATATTGTCGTCAGCGTATTTCCTTGTCGGTGTCTTCGTTCTCGACATTTTTTAATTGCAGCGTCGTCGGCCCAACAAATTCAAACGTATCCTTATGCATATCAAATTAGTTAACCAGGTAGCATTTTCCTTATCCATCTTTCTGTGTTCTCGTTTTTGTCTCGTCTATCAAATGGTTCGCGTTCATATGTAACGATGCTGTGCTGGTAAATGACTCCACTCACAGTGAGCGATAGTCGTTTGTTTACAGATCGCGGCCGTAAGTCAACACGAGCGACAATGGTCCTCCTATACGTTATGCCTCTTTTTGTCCTGCCCAATTTTATTTTCCCCCTGATGATAATAGTAATAAAAACAGCAAGAGCAGTAGCAAAGAGCCAGGCGCGACGACGACTCGCCGCTGATCATTAGCGATCAATATCAATCTACAAGCACGAATTAACGACAGCGTATACATGTGACACACGAACGTGTGCAGGAATGCCGTCTGTGATTTGGTGGTCCATTATCTTACGGGCAGTACTCTGTACCAGTCACAAACTAGTGGATGCCGTAGAATCGTAACGTGACTTCGCGGCTGAGAGAAGCATGATGCTTGCGTACGTTGATGGGGCAGACGATATTTATGGAGTCACGATTTCTGTTTTGTGTTTGTACTCTAGTTGATCTGTATGTTTACTTTGAGGAAATGTGTTCCAGATAGCTGGATGCGAACACGTATTCGATTTAGCAGGACTCAAAGCAGACCGCAGCGGTTCCTGCAAGAGACCCAGCTTTGGACGGCGCCACGATGCACCTTGGGATTTCATTTGAGATATGCTTTTGTTCTTGTATTTGTAGTGAAAACATAAAACATTATCATATATCACTAAGCGTTCTCTTGAATAAAAATGGGGTGCTCGAAAATTGCAAACGAGGTACAAACCTTCCATTTTCATCAGCCAACCGAAGACCACCCCGATGGTTCCGCTCTCCTTTAGATACCCACCAATAGGCAGCTAAAAAGACAACGGTTGATTTTTTTCAGTATGTAATTGTGCTTTACTCTACGAAAATGTATGCTGGTCGAAGGTATATATTTAATAAAAATGTATCATTAGGGCAGCGCTGAAATGACGCTGCTAAGCACTTTATAAAAACCTGAATATTGTCAGCGACGATCAAACAAAGATCATCGGTTTACTGCAACTATTCAACTATACCGTACGCTAGTATTATTAGATCCAGCAGTATATATATATATATATATATATATAACATACATAGCAAGCCTATAAAGCATATATATATAAGCATAGAAGACATAGCAAGCAAATAGGTCCGGTGATACCTCTTCCGGGCTATCATTTGGGTCGTCGTTAGGGCTACTTTTATTGATACCACGTATGTAAGAATGAAAACTATATACTAGAAATTTAGTGATTGCTTCTCTGGAAACAAAAGAGCAACGTTTGTTTTTCATTTTTTCAAAATTTTCGAATCATTCCTTAGCTTTAAGATTTACATTCGGCAGCCTTTAAGTATTTTTTTAGATGCCTAGTCTCTAAGATGATATAAAGTGTATGTTCGATAGGTTTAAAATACAGTACCTGGACCGAGTCCATCATACATAACTCCTGGTACTAAAAATGTCTGCGAGTCGACTATCGTGACTGGCCCTGAGGTTACTCCATGGTCCCAAGTCGGTAGCTTCTCAACCGTAACAGGCTTTGGGATTTGCAGGTTGCGTGGTAGGTACAGGTCAGCGAAGTTAGCCTACAATCAAAAACAAAAACAATTATGAATTGTTGGGTGTTGAGCATCCGTAAAAATGAGCCTTCATACTACTTCGAAGAGCGGACTATACGACGCATTTAATAAAAAATGACCCGGCACTTCGCCCTAACTCAACCATATGTCCAAGTGTCCGTTGCACGAGACGAGTTACATACACCAGTCAATAGTGAAAAGCAGTAAATCCCACATGATCTTTGCAATTCTAAATAGCGCTTCTTTGAGTTAGTTTAAGGAAGATGATGTAGTAGCTTACAAAACATGTTTATGATACAAGAAATTTAAGTTTGCTATTTTCAAATACATTTTGTTAATTGTTCGTTATCAGCTATCGTGGATTTATCATGAATACAAATACAAACAACCAATTGATTATTTTAGAGAACAGAAAGCACCGTTCGAAAATACGACTGTAATAAAGTGTATATCCGCTTCCATTGTTCGGAGCTGTATTTCATTTAGACTGTTCTCATTTTTTTTCTAATGATATCTTAAGACTTTTTACAGTGGTTTGTCACTAAAAGAAATCAAGCAACATCAGTAGAGATCAGACAATTGAACGTCACTTGTTGTTGTGGAGCTTTTTGATTTGTTTTCGATAAAAAACAACACAGACAAAATTCAACGAAAGCAAAATTTTCGCCGGAAACCAATGGTAGTTTCGCGTTCATAGCCTGTACACAAAGACGATCCGCTGAGCATCTTCAACAATGGTTGAATTCGAAATCGATGAACACTAAACAATAGCAAATTGATAGTATTTCCTTCATTTCGGCTTGTCTATCGTGTGCGTACTGCTTATGCTTGCTAAGAGCAATCGTTGGTTTTACTACTTCGCGCACAGTATTTTTAACCGGACAGATTTTTTGCTTGATACCACTTCATCAGCGAGCTCCCAACGAAGACAGTCCCAGGCCTATGTATCGGTAAGGGAAATGAGGTGTGGCGTTTTTTATCATTTTTATTGTGTGTGACATACGCGGAGCGTCCAGGATCTATTGAGGCATGTACACTACATGTACAAAAAAAGAGCCAATTTGCTTGCCAACAAAATCATATACTTAGTATGGTGGAAGCAGGAAGTTTGTTTTGCGAGTTTAGACGAAAACTAACTATAAGCTAATATTTTTCTAGCTGACGAATCGCAATCAAATTCTAAGTTTATTTGCTCGCCCGAAGTCTACGATCGGTTTGTCGTATTCCGAATAGGCGCACAGTTGCTGAAAGGACAGAAGCAAAAGTGCCCTCCACCAATTCAAAAACTAACTGGAAACCTGTAAAAATATAAGTTTGAGGCAATGTCCCATTTTGGTCGCCAAATTTCTCGAATAGATCTCGACAGACTCAAAAGCTGCTTCGCCTTTTAAAGAATAACTAATAAGATTGACAGAGGGTGGTGTATTGACTAATAAGCAGTACAAAAGCCTATTTATGTTTTTGTGTGTCGATTATCATCGCCTCGATTTTGCGGAACTACATTGCAGGTCTCGCGTTATCGAAACCAGACGGAGGCTCCTAAGCCTTCTCAAACACGGTGCTATATTTTCGATTCTGGTACGAAATCAAATTTCTAGACAGCGTCCACGTTTTTATTGTTATATCCAGCGAAAGGGACATCGTATCCATAGAATTCTTTCAGGAGGGCTTATATTTTGCCAAGTTTCTCCGAATGCTACTAAAGTCGCGGGTGGTTCCTGGGTTCACTGATAGTTCGTCGATGAGACGGTGCACCAAGTTATAGCAGCATATTAGACGTAGTGTAAAATAAAGACTAATAAATAGTAAAATAAAAACTCCTTTGCAGCCCACAATTGATTCGTTACGTTGGCATAGATACAACTGAGCGGAAACGTAGACACAGGTACGTCGACACTCGAACAGTTGCCGTTTAGCTCAGACTCCGATCCGAAATGCGGACGACAGCTACATCGAATAAACTCCTAATGGCAAAGATTTTCTTGTCAATAAAACATTTGCTTTTTCCCGTTTAGATGCAGCTTAAAAGTATGTAAAATAAATAATGTCTAATTTTATCGCAGATATGCTATAATATGCATCAATTTTCCGTTTGCAGCCAAGCGGCATAGGGACGCGGCTGTGGTCAACGTATACCGTTAAAGAAAAACTGGTAACAGAGCGATAGTCGACTGTAATTATCATTGCACACATTGCTGGAAGCTGCAGCATCTCGAAACGCCTAGCAAAGGCAAGAACGTATCTATTTAGAATATCAACAAGTTTCGTGAGATTTTTATTATTCTTTCCCTTTTATACAAGCATTCCTCTTCGTTCTTCAGCTAACGGCCTTCTATAGCTCTACGCGTATAAGTACTTAGAGCCAAAGAATGGGTCTCAAACCCTAGCTTATCGTCGTATCGGCCCACTGCAAACTACTGGTATGCATCCTGCTTCTGTCGCCGGCTTGCAATATTCCATACAACTCTAGGAACTGCTGATAACATAACGCATTCATTGTGGGGTATGTCCGTGTGTTTAAACAACGTGAGTTATGTCTTATTCAACGATAGCTGTAGAAAAAGTACTCAACCTAACGACAGTCTTCTGCTTCTCCTGTTGCTCTTCCTAATCAGTTGGTTCAGGCTGGTCATCACATCGAGTCATCGTTGCTCCTCACCGGACACAGAGTGAATAAACGGACAATACAAGCAGTATCATATGTACGTATATTGTGCGTGAGTTCATACTTCCGAGACCGACGACAACAAACGCGTACTACATATCTGATCTGTTTAGGCCTTCGCAAATCAGCACACGTCTGCGGGGTTATGGCAACAGGACCCCAGTGATTTCAATGGCAACTGCCGTTGAAGCAGCAGTAGCTGACGGGCCCGTTCACGCTCATCGCTGTTAGTGGTCAACAGTGACATACGAGCACCAACGACCGCTCAATACTGCTGGATCGCTTCAGCATCGCATGTAAACATCTCGATATATTGGGCTATCGACAGTTTTTCTAGCTAGATAGCTTTAAAAATCACGTATTTTCAGTAACATCAGCGTCGGTGCCATTCGGGAATGTAGATTCGGCAGTAATAAACGTGTTAATGTTCCTTATTCAGGCACAAAAAGTGCCTCCAATGTAAGTGTAGTCTATGTAAAAATTAGCTAATTTTATCACGTTAACCGCATATACGCTACCCGGACAGAACCTGCTTTTATGGTCAAGATGCGCTATCGGCATAAAATGTCTTTATGGTGTTCGTTCTCAAAATTTCGATACTTTTAGTACTGGTTAACCGGTAGCGGAAAAAACTGGTGAGAGAACTCACCAAGGCCGACACGTGAGAAACGATTATATCACCAAGAAATGGCACATCTGTTACCAAACAGTTGTAAGCCATATCGGTAAGTTGGCTACCAGAAAAAAACTGATTGTTTGCTTGTCACACAATTAGGCGTTAAATAGATTTATATGATCGTATTTATATCTGTGAAATTCTACATGAACACAATGAATCGTTCCTGAGGCAGTTTGTCACAGATGATAAAGAATAAACCACTTACAATGACAATAAGTAGATATCCCCTCTAATCTGTCACAGTGGCCAGGCTAACGTTAAAAAGGCTGATTTGATGTGTTTACATTATGAGTTGCTAGCAGAATGGTTGACTTGGACCCCTGCCGTCAGGGGTACAATACGCCATTGAAAAATTCGGCTAAAGCTGGAAAATAGAAAAAAAATATCGTTTTCTTACATAATAATGCCGGATCACATATATCTATGTTTAGTTTTCCGGCAAAAACTGAGGCAGCTTTGATGGAAAACTTTCGTGCGTCCGCCTTATAATTCGAACCTTGTACCTTCGGATTATCATTTACTTTGGTTTCTGCCGAACTCCATTAATGGTCTTAATTCAGTTTCGCTGGGCAAATGCAAAGATGAATAGTTAAAATTTTTTACTCAGAAGCCAAAAAAGTTCTATAATGATGAGAGTATGGTGTTACCAGAAAAGAGGCAGACGGTTATCGATCGCGGCGGCATCTAGTTAGGTTAAAAGGTATAATTTTCAAAAATAGAAAATGTTTGCTTTAATTTTGGCTTGAAGGTGGTCCACACTTTTTTGACACCTATATATTTATACATTTCTCAAAAGTGACGACGGCAACAACACCAGCAGCAGTAGCATCAGGGGGATCCGATGAATGTCATTTACCCACTATCAAAAATCAGTTGCTCACAACAACGTTTCGTGGCGATCTCCGACTTCCGACACTGATTAGCGAGGCAGAGAGGCCACTCTGAGGAACAGCCAGTGTCCCTGATTCTTTTCTGTCTGGCAACGATGACTTGTGCCCCTTGCAGCCGTTATTACGATATACGAAAATAGATATCGACAACAGAAATAATTAGAACGGCTGAATCAGCGACTGATGAAAACTGTTTGATAATCGCAGGACTCCTTATCACAATATTGACCATTTATCTATACTGGCGATAAAAGTCACAGTAGGGAAATTAGAAATGATGGGGAAATACAATGGCCTGGTTAAACATATGCTTACGCGTACCTTTTTGCACATGTGATACATTTATAAAAAAAAAAAAATCATAAAATTACTTCGATAGCGGAAAATTCGATAGCGTTTCGAATTATTGAATGCATAGGAAAAATGAGGCCTAGTTAGACCTTTTTTCTTTTAGCTAGTTTAGATTTATAGATATAATAATGTATGATAATGATTTACAACGTTTCAGATTTGAATGCTATTGAACTTTCAGAATTTTTTAAAGGTGCACACGGGCATACAGTTTATGCAATCTGCATGACTGGGTCCTTTGTCCAAATTTTAAAATTTGGGCGGGCTGTGTTGTTCATATTTCGTCAACAATTTATTGAACGATGGAGAAATAGAATAAACAGCTCATCCTTCTACCACAGTTTTACCTGTCACAAATCAGAGCCAAACAGAAAGCAAATTACATTTTATGAAAATCGTTACATTGAAGCATATTACATGATCATTCGGGAAGTTTTATGGGTCACTTTATTACAAGCATATCTGAAACCGAATATAGCCGATGCTAACTTAAGTTCGCAAAAGCAACTTAGCTTAGCAGAGATGTATATTTATGTGTTCGTACAAGTCATCAAACGTTGTATCCCTATATGTTTTTGACAGAAATTTTTCATTCAGATACCACAGTAATTTTAACATACGCATTAATGATGGTAATAAAAATGGTAAAAGTAATTATTTATACAAGAGTCATACATAATCACGATGCCCCTACAGATTTCAGTGTGACGAAGTCGACTCCACCCTATTTTTCTAGCAAAACGCAAATTCTAGACCATTCAAAATCCAGCGCAGTAAAATTTCATATAGATCTAACATTTAACATACTTTAATTGGCAATAAATGACTATAAAACACCGTCTAACAATTTACTGGATCCCCTCAAAATAAAAAATATTTTCCCTTCAACTTTACGAAATATCCGACTAAATCACGTGTGACTGGTGTGACTATATAAGACAACGAAAATTCCAGCTGGATCAACTCTGAAACTAGTGATGGAAATAGCTGACATCTTCAAGAACACTGGAAGTAGCGATTCAGCAAAGCTTCAGGGTAAAAGGTAACCAGTTTTTGCCCTATCGCTGGATTTTTATCTCATATCAGATTTTTTTTTATCACTTTTTTTTACTTGAACAGGTCCTACCTGTTAAAGTATAGCATCGAACACCTACTCGCACTAGGAGTTTAACCAAAATGTCGCTGTCGGGTTTTTCAACAGACATATGATGAAACAACATGGCAACCATACAAGCACCTAGCAACCTTATTAATAATCCTCAATTCCTTATATAGCTTATTTTTTTTTTACTTCCCTGATTATTCATTTCTATTGCCAACGTTGACGTTTGAACCAACGTGATTGAGGCCCTAACATACCTACAGCGGTCCTCGAAGTTCATTCTATCTAACAGGTACATAACAAAGGGTGCTGTACGTTGAATCTAGCTTTATTTATTTATTTATTTATTGAGCTGACAAATATAGCATCAAAATCGAATGCAGAAAGGATATCGTAAATACAGTTTTTCTATAGCCATAATTTGTCAAACCTGTGTTAACTTTATTGCAATTTGCCTACTAAATATATTTAATAAAAAAAAAAATCTATTAGCAGTCTAATTAAATAATTAAAAAATTCATTAGCGAAACGTCGAATTTAAAAAAAAAAATGCTTAATTTATAGCTACGGGGTACTCACCGAAAACTTTTTGCACCAAATTGATATCCATTGAATGTTTCGAACGCTTTTGTTACCAGGTAAACGAAGTATAAGATCCTTATTCCGGTATTGGCCGAGCTTTGTAAGGGATCCGCGCTCGTTGGGTATGATGAAACCGCTTCCATCAGTCTTTTGTGAGGTGCCCGCCCAGAAGTAGGCATCTAAACTCCACACAAATCAACAATGACCACATAAATCGATGAACATAACACTACAGAATATCACTGTTATAATTACAATACGATCATTATCGACAGCAGATCATCACACGTCGGCTTAAAAAAAGGCCTGTTTGACGCTATCTGTTAACCTGCGTGAAGTTACTGCTTTCGCTTGAAACAAACCGCGAGTAAAAGCCGAGAATATAGTGAAGTTCTAAGAACTGGGACCGGATAATGCTACATTGTATACGAAGCGCGTAGGCAAACGGCGTCCAGTCAGTAGACCACAAACCTGCACCCCCCCCCCCCCCCACATTGACACATACATACGTATATGTACATATATGCACTTGTTTCTCTATAGTTAGCTTTCCGTTAAACTGTATACCTTTTAATGGCAGTACTAACAATTAGGGGGTGAAATGAATCATCAGGTTTAATTATTTGTTTTGGCCGCAGCAGTAGTCGCCTCTGGTGGCGAGCGAAGCCAGCTGACCACCTCACTGTAGATCATATCATGGCCAGTCAAACTATATATGTGTTACATACTCTTATATATTATGCGAAATGGAACGGTTTAGCGGATCTCTGCAGAAAGAAACAGTTATACAAAATGATACCCCTTGACTAACTGCTACTGCCGTGTCTTCGCCGTACATATTTTGTGACCATAAGGGTACATAGTGAACATGCTGTGAATAGACTTTCTAAGAGTAAATAATGAAGACGAGCATTATTATCTAAATAAAAACGGACAAAAGCAGGAATCAAGCAGACCAGTGGTCGATTGACGCTGGACAAGGATAGATAACCAGTTGAAACAGCGTCGTTCCTTGTGGCATCGATAAGTGGTATGCAGTTTATACCCCATTTTACCAGGGGTTTACACGCGGCATCTTTTTAATGCATATGGTAATGTATGTGGCAGATTAGAGAAAACGACAGTGACAACTGTAATGATGAGAGGTACTATTAACTGCTGGCCTATGTCGGTTTATCAGTGCTTTCAGTTGTCGCTGATTGGACCTCGGACAATGAGATAATTGGTCCGTCTCCCGATCAGTTGACCACTAGCATATGGGTAGCCGTGATGTTTCTGGAGAAAGTCCGCTATGGATATTTGGACCAAATGCATCGCTAAGTCAAGAGTACAATGAAAAGACTGAGTGGAGTAGGAACAAACTATATTAAGCAAAGTTGATGGAGTTTAACCTGGATACAAAGCTCGTATATGCAATTGTGTGCTTACATTAGTAAGCAGCAAAGTGTATTGATGGGTACTAGATAATTGTTGGGCGAATGACAAATCAAATTCCTTACTAGTTAATAAGCCTTATCATGGAAGTATATAATTATCACAGTTTTTATCTAGAAAACCCCGGGTATAGTTTGAATATTTCGGAAGATCGAAATGACCCGTTTACGCGTATTGATCTCATACCACTCACCTGGTCCCTGCCCATCATAACTGAAGCCTTTAAGGAAAAGCGTTTTGTCGTCTACAACAAACACTTCTCCGGCTACGTCGTGAAAATACTGCGTTAATTTGCCGATCCTTACGCCATAATATGGCTGTGACGAAGGAGAGTGCGGTAGTAGTTGACCTATAGGAAAAGAAGTAAACTATTAGTTAATTAAAAACTGTTGACTAAGTAACGTTTTTTTAATATTTTTACTAAATTTTTTTTTGATGATAAGTCGTTATGTTACGTATGCCCCGTCATTGATCAAATGATATATTCTGTATATATTGAAAAAAAAAAAGCTCAAGTAGACGAACACTTCATCTTAGATTGTACGTATTTTTCTCTCAGCGTATATAATAAACGCTATGGAATTGCCTCACGAATGACTGAAGTAGAACGCTTTGACTGAAGTAGATGTACTTATAGGCATAAAATGATATATGGTGACTGTGGAGCATGGTGAATCGCAAACGCCTAAAAATACGAAATAGAGATTGGCTTTGCGATACATATGTAACAAGTACGCAGGAGTAAATTATTTAAGTATAATATAATAGTTATAGTAACGAGTAAATTAATTATTAAAAATTATCAATTTTTGCAGGCCGAGTTGATTACTGCGACCTTCTCAAGTAATCGTTTTCACAAGCGTAAAACGAAAGAATGGTACTTTCTACATAAAGTTAACATCCAACATCTTTAGTCCGACTGGGTACTTATCTCTAGACGAATTTTTCCCAATTACATATTATACTCACCTCTCGTATTGTCGCCTTTACATACAGGTGGTTAAGGTTAGTTGTTTATGAATGACTCGTAAAAAATTGATACTCGTTCGATTGGGCCTAGTGCCCTATGATTCCTGCTCACAGGCTCACCAATAACGGGGCACAGGACACGTAATGACAACTGCATCATCTCTATTTCCGTACTGAGACATAATTTGGTGGGAAGGAACAGTCTTTTATAGGCTAGGGATGAAGACCAGTTCCTTACGGTCTGATAAGAAAATTGTTTTCGGCAATATTTTTATTCAAATTAGACAGGAGCGAACATGCATAGGCAGCTATGAGGGTTTGGATTTGAAAAAGGCGCGAAATAATGTCCAGTAAAAATGATGGATTCGTAAACGTCAGTTGTCGTCTAAGGATCACTAGTTATAATCAATAATATTCCGATATGAAGCATTTCGAAGTTTCTAGCTTGTGGTGAAGCGAGCTAGCATGTCATATGAGGACTCACGATCTTTTCAACTATGCAAATTGAATGTGTGTACTGCGACCTCGACACTGGTGTTTAATGTAAATAATTTGAAAACGATGACCTTTGTGCTTTTTACAATGGACGAACACATCGCTGACTTGTTGGGGCGGCACCTTACGATCATCGGCTTAATGTTATAGAACAGGACCTGATACAAATCTCTGTGTATTTGATCTGCTCTGTTGTTACATTAACGGGTGGCCTTTGAGCTGCACCGTCAAAGCAAGTCGTCCATCTCAACCTGAGTTTGCAAGAAGGAAAAAATCGTTGCAATTCTTTCCCGCGTCAGTGAAGCTGAACTCCGTTACGGGCGGCCTCTGGAACTTCCGGTGCAGCACCACTGTCATTGAGAGCACTGAAGTTCAAGAAGTAATCTGCATAACTTGGTAAATGACAAAACAACGAAGCGAGCATGAATCGCAGAAAATCTAGCGAGAACTCTAGAATATAGATAATAAAATCGAATGTACGCTTCCTTCGCCACATCTTTTTCCAACAACGTTGGTTGTCAGTGCAAATGTGCTGTGTGCGTATTTAGTACATATGAATATTTGTCCAGTGCTTTTCTTCGGCATACATAGTATTCAGGCGTTTAACTCGAACCGCGAACTGGGCTCGACAAAATGGGAATGTTGACATCGTTGGTTACGGACTACGTAGACAAGCGTCATGACGAGCATGAATTGAGCAAACAGTCGACGATCGGCGAATATATGACTAAATGTAAGTTACATTGATACATACTTGATGTATCACTCCTTGAAACGAAACTTAGGGGTAGAGCTTGTGTTAACTTACATATTAAATAGACATGCGTTCAGTTTGCTGCGCTAGGATAACATCTGAATAGACAGCGAACTTATACCTTTTTAACTCATGGGGAAGTCCGCGGTCCAAAGCAAAATACAGCCCAGTATCGACCCAAGGCCTATGACTTGACAATTGTTCTGTAGACATTGTTAGCGTCAACTCATAAGTGGCGAATACTGGAGTGGTTTAATAAATTGAAGACCAGCACTTCAGAGCGGGCCTTTTATACTACACTAATTTGAAATAATAGTTCTATAATTTTCATTGAGAACTTCATAGAAAATACAATTTTTGCATTTCAGTAGCTCTAAAATAGTCTTGGCTCTAACAAATGAGGGAATCTTTTCTTACATGTGGTTTTTTCTATGCGGCTGGTCGGGGTAGATTAGTTTTTGTCCTACACGGGCAACAGATTAGCCAAATCAAAAGTTCATTTGAAACTCATCGTCAAGTCCTCACTGATTAATAGGAAATCAAACGCATCAACGTCCTGCGGCATCTTACATGACATTGAATTCATCTTGCCAATAGATGGGCTCTCAGTTCCTTTTGCGTTACTAGTTACTCACAGATTTCTGTGATCCTTGAGCTTGATTACTGCAGCTAGGCCTGTATTCGTTCCCCCCATACTTTTGCGGTTCTAGCTGGGGTCATTGTACTGGGTATGAAGACCCCTGTGGTCTATAATTTGTTCGGGCAGTGTGGGCACCAACAGCGACAATTATTAGTCATACTGTAACGCCACTTATATATAGATAATGGTTTTATTGTTGTTGTAACGAGATAATTGCGGTCTAGGCCGTGGCAATAATTCGGCGATAGCTATTACATCGTGAAATCTTGGCCCCCGTTGACAATATAGCGTTTTACACGTTTCAAATAAACACCAACGATTACGGCTACCACCCCAGTATAGTTACCAAGCACAGCCTAATGCAGGCGCGCGAAGGTCAGAAGAACAAAAGGACGAATTAATAAAACTAGTGCGCTTACGAGGTCAGGAGATTATCGCGACGATCCTGAATGTGCGTATCCTTCCGTTATTGCTATAATCGTGGTTGTTATTGTCCATGTTTATTATTATTGTCTATTTTATGGTAGGATGTATTTAACTTTGTTGGCTCATGGGTAACAAGAAAAAAATGTTACGCTACAAATAATAGAAATGCGTCACCGATTCTTCTTCGTCTAGTTCCCCCTTCGTCTAGGACCCCCCCACACAGATTGGATGCTCTTGAATCGCCAACTTGGTTCTCGGAAGACTACATTGCCACGTTTCGAGCTGCAATGAACTACCCTTCTTGTATCCTGTCAGTCTAAATGGTTCTACGCTCAATGAATTTCTCGTCGAAGTGGGCAGTCGGGGATTTTTGCACTTGACTATCGGGAGAGACAAGGCAACGTTGGGGGTGAAACAATGAAATGTCTTTATTCCGTAGCACTACTATAGCTTGCTATTGCATTTCTCTCTACGTCAACGCCAGTTTTATCGGTGGTTGTCCTGCCGTTACTTGGTTTTCTATTTTAGTCTGTGGTAGGTGATATTCTATATTTCAATGAAATTGATAGTGTCAGCCGTTTACATGGATCGCGTATTTTATGACGTTTTCTTTTTGTCCCGTTCAAATAAATAGTGATAGACATACGGTAATGAAGTAGCCACTGCAGTAATAACACTACAATTGTTGCTACAATTATGCCCCCCTTTTTCGTTTGTGTTTCTTCTTTGTCGAAAGTCGTATTTCGCTAATAACCATCCTAGTCTGTGTGTCTTTATGGCGGCGGCTGGGTGTCGACCAAGACTCGCTCCCATGCTCACGACGGATAATGAAAATGATGCCAATTGTATATAGATCGGGAAGATGATTGCAGTTATTGTTATTATTATTGTTATTACGATTAGGTCACTATGGGACGGTGAGCGAAAAGTGATGACAGCGTGTAGAATTAAGAAGGTCCTACGGCGATAGAGGACAGAATAAACCTAAGGATAAGCCTTAAAGATTGACATGCTGTTTACATCAACTTGCTACTGTAACCAGAGGACTAGGCTCGGTTCAGAGCCTTGCGAAGGACTACAAGCCATTACGTTTGTTTACGGAATGCATTTCACAAGCGTCTTTTATTTTCACATTTGTGACCCTTATGGCCGCCATTTGCTGGAGAGGGTTTTCAAGTAACCCTCTTCCCCGAATCATTTTGTAAAACGGTAGATAGCTATAGATGTTTCACCCAGAGTCGGTCAATGTTGTAGGTTCCCAAACCTAATCCTATTTGTTATTTTTACCAGAATACTCAAATTAGCGTGAAGCACGATCACACTTATAGAATAGTGTTGAAAGCCGAAGTTTGTGCGCGCTCCTAAATTGCACTGAATTACGGAAGGGCCTAGAAAGTATTAGATTTATCAAGTGGACATTAGTAGCAGTAATCTCTATTAATGCTAGTGTTTTTTTCTGTAAATAGGTCCTATGTTGAAAAAAGATGATATAGTATTTTGCCTATACGGTTGATGCTTGACGTGTCATATCATAAACAACAAATTACCTATTATAAGTATTAATATAGTATATTGATATTGTGCTCAGCTGGGTAATGATGGCCAACGCAAAGGTGGCTATTAATTAGAAGAGTTGCTTGGCCTAATTGGACGTACATTTAATATTTGAATAATTCACGTCGGAGTACAGGCGTTGACCGCATAGGACAATCTGTGTTATACCACTCGTAAACAGCGATACTTCTACTTGATTGTAGAAAAGTGTGTCAGTGTAAATGAAACGTCTCCTATGGGGTACGTCGGGTCATCGGCAACACAAACAAAATATAGTTGGCAAAAATGACAATTGTGATAAGGAAAGTTAATTTCCGTTGCGCTGAATTTCGTTAAGCTGCACTAGTACGTACGGACTTCCTGCTTCCGTCCAAGGGCCTCTATAGCAATCTGTTGTATTGCGACCATTTACACAGAGACAGTATAGCTCATATGAATATGACTAAGATGTGTGTTACTGTTTTTCCTTATGGCAAGCGGTTAATTTTTGACTCTTGTATTTTCAGTGGATGTTGAAACGTCTTTGGTAGTAGCGTTTAGGATTTCGCTGTTGACGTTGTAAAAATAGCCCCCTACGTGATATTTTGCCATTGTATTGGTTCAGTACAACAAAATCTATGTTAAACTCTGAAACAGCCTATGGAAAGGTGCGATCTACCGTGAGACTTTCAATAGAAAGGTGTTGTTATTTCTGGTCGACAAGACAACGTACTGTAAACGTGAAGATAAACGTGCTTTTTTTTAAGAACTCAACTCTCTCTTGGAGGTTTTGTGAAAATTCAATGCCAAAGTATGACATCTGTTCTAGTTAATAGAGTTTACTAGCTTTTCAAGCTTTTAATCTATTTGAGAGTAAAAAGTGTTGCTCAGTCGCGAGGAGCTCTTGACGCAGTATCAGCACAGTGTACATACTGCACGATGTTTTGTAATTGTATGTTGAATATGTATCGAACTATTGTGCTACAGATGTGGCTTGTGAAAACCACTTGAAGACAAAGCTTGGAATGAGTTAGAAATTAACTAGTTAGTACCCCACTTTGCTATGGTAGGTTGCTAATAGCGCACGTATGGTTCAAGCAACGTTGCTGATTTGATCTAGTCCTTAACAATGATGCCGATGAGTATGGAGAACATATGGAAATTTACATAAATAATGTGAGAACTTTTCAGTGAAAAAGGATAGGGTTTTACGCGTAACAAAATCATGTCTACTGACTGATGAAGGAACTCCGTATCGTCCGATTCTACCCACTATCCACCATTTGGCCAATAACATACAGAAGAAGTTCCGTTTTCAGATTGCCGTGCACGATGCTTTAACTACTTTGTTATGATCAAGCAGGTTTGCAAATGAATAAAGCTGCGTCGTGTGTCTATTTTATGCAAATGTCTGTAGTCGCCTGTGAGCTCGTAGAAAGTTTTGAATACGATCACTTCACAGACATTTGTCCCTTCTGCTGCTACTAGCACTAAGCATTTCCCGACGGTCTAGTTACGCGAAGATGGATCTACTGAAACGCGTCCCCAGCGTCTGAACCTGTTTTTCATTACGTCCTTACCGTGATACGATAAGGTGCATCACAGTATTGTAGCACTGCTGAGAGACATAGCTGACATGTATGATGTTCCATAGCAGCGCATATATATGTATATATATTCGTACAACAGTGCGAGTGTGCCCTGAGGCGAACGATATAGCAGAAAAGAAAGCAAATAACTAGATAGATAAACTCATATACGATATGTAGACGATACGCTAATTTTCGTACATCGCATCATACCCTTAAACACCCCTGTTCAACAGTACTGCTAATAACTGCAGTAACCATCTTAAATTTAAATTCTCTACATGTAACAGCCCAAAGCGATAATGGCACAATTCCTTTTAATTTGAATTCTGATAAAATCCGTTCTTTTTTTTTTGTCTTGTACAATTTGTTTTGCAAGACGATGACAGATTCTCTATATAGGCACGACACGCTCCGATACAATTACCGATCTACAAACGATAACCTAAGGAAGGGCTTTTTGTCACCCTTCAAAAGTGAACAGGTCGGATGACCTGACTATTCGCGGACTAATGCGAGTTCAGAGGATCACGGTAGACAGTGGCCAAGCCCCGCGACCCCAAGTTTTACGAAACTTGAGTGACGAATAAAAATTTAAAAAAATTTGGGATAGTGGCGCAGTTAAAATGTAAATTGCTCCCTTTTACCATATAATGGTTATTACTGAATTAAACTGAAACAACATTTTTTTTGCGTATAACGTGTCGGTGCCACGCCAGTCGTTCATTGTAGCTATTTTTCCAATAATTATCTCGCTTATTCTAAGTCGTATTCTGCAAAAGTAGGCCGGGTTTTTGTGAAATTATGCAGATCAAGGTACGCA